GAAAGCTTGGGGGATAACTCCTCCCTCCTCAGGCTCGGTCCCAAGGTACAAGACCATGTATGCCAGCAGCATGGGTCAGCAAGCGAGCAGAAGCCAGAAAAGGGCAGGCTGGAAGACAAGGACCCCCTGAAGATCAGGAGAGAGGCTGTCTAGGTCCCACGTAGCAGTTACATCAGACTGGGACACTTCCCATTTACAGAAGACTATAAAACCCCCACCTCGCCCTCACTTGGGGCTAACGCCGTTTTAGGCCTCAGCCAGTCTGCAGCCAGGCGCTCATGAAAACAGCATGTTGCTCAACACCACCTCGAATTGTTTGCTGGCGCTCTCAGGGTTCGAACCAATAATAGAGCCTTGCACCTAATATCCCAGGTAGTAATCCAAGAGTGATATCTGTGTAACACCCCTCCTCCACCACCCTCCATATCCAAGCGATCACCAAGGATACAAGCCGGCCAGGCAAGGTAGCTCACGCCTGTAAGCCCAGTACTTTAGGCGGCTGAGGCATGTGGATCACCTGAGGTCAGGAGTTCAAGACTGGCCAACATTGGAAAACCCTGTCTCTACTAGAAATTCAAAAATTAGCCAGGCATGGTGGCAGGTGCTTGTAATCCCAGTTACTCGGGAGGCTGAGGCAGGAGAACCGCTTGAACCTGTGAGGCACAGGATGCAGTGATTCGAGATCACACCATTTCCCTCCAGCCTGGGCAACAGAGCAAGACTCTGTCTCAAAAACAAGAAAAAAGGATTAGTATAGTTTTGTTACCAGCAAAGGGGTCTTGTCCCAGACCCCAACAACAGGATTTTGGATCTCACACAAAATGGAATTTATGGTGAGTCACAGAGTCTAGTGACATTAAGAGAGTTTATTAGCCACTACTAAGTGACAGAGCAGGGAGTCCTCAGAAAGCAAGAGGAGGAATGCACCTGTTTCAAAGGAAAAAAAAATTTTAGAGACGGAGTTTTACTCTAGTCACAATGACATGATCTCAGCTCCCTACAACCTCTGCTTCTTGGGTTTAAGGACTCTCCTGCCTCAACCTCCCAAGTAGCTTGGATTACAGGTGTGCACCACCATGCCCGGCTAATTTTTTTGTATTTCTATTCCATTTTAATTTATTTTTTTATTTATTTTATTCCAACCCCATAGAGACTGGCAAAAATTTCCAATGCCGACTATATTTCCAGTCCTCATGGCGGGGTATTGGGAAAAGTTTTCAATTAGCAATAATCGGGCCTTGGATAAACCTCATTGGCTACAACACTGCCACTGTGCAAAGCTATATTTTTGTATTTTTAGTAGAGACTGGGTTTCACAATGTTGGCCATGCTGCTGTCCAACTCCTGGCCTCAAGTGATCTGACCTCCTCGGCCTCTCAGTGTGCTGGGATTAAGTAATCACACCTGTGATCCCAGCTCATTAATGTACAAATAGGATTACTTAATGTTTGTTTATATAGGTTATTAAGAACAGTGTTGTCTCTTATAAAGGATTGTGATCAGTTTGTGTCAGGCTATTAGTATTGTTACTTTTTTATGTCACTATTGATTTTAACAGTAATTTATGAGTGTACTATTATCTTTAAAGTAAAACTTATTTTTAAATTAAGAATGCTTTTTGCTTAAAGTACTGGTATATATTTATAAGTTTTGGGTCTTTATTTAGTTATTAACTTGTTCTTGCAA